CCGGAGGAGTGGGGGCACCTGGGGCCCTCTCAGAAGGAGCTGTACCGCCAAGTGATGCTGGAGAACTATGGGAACCTGGTGTGCCTGGGTGAGGACCCCCGCTGCCGAGGCCACGGGGAGGGCACAGGCGGCCAGGGGACGGGGCCTCCCTCGGAGCCCTGGCACGGCGCCTCCCTTGAAGTCCCAGCCCAGGCCCTGCACCCCTGCAAGGCTCTGGGCCCATCCCCCCTCTAGCGGGGGTGTGTCTCTGAGCTCCCCTTCCCCATTTCCCCGAGCAGGACTTGCCCTTTCCAAGCCTGACATGATCGAGCAGCTGGAGCGAAGGGAAGCCCCTTGGAGGCCAGAGGCAGCTGTCTCAGGAAGCAGCCGCGCAGGTGAGTGGGGCGCCCCCGGGCAGCGGGAGATCCCCGGAGCCGTCCTTCCCACACCTGGCCGGGCCCCTCTCCTGCAGCTCCCTGGCCTGTGGGGTCTCCCCCCCACCCAGAGCCTGGGGCTTCCCAGGAGCACGCGGGGTGCCAAGGATCTTTGTTCCCGGGGTGGCCTGCGATCATGGATCTTTTCAGCTTCCTGTTCCAAGAGCTGCCCGTTCCCAGCCATTTTAACATGAAGATTTGCGGGCTCTTCTCAGCTGTAGAAGCATGCTCTGAATCACTCATAGAAAGCCAGATTAAGACGACTGGCGGTTCGTCTGTTACCGAGAGTGTTTGCAAAGATCCCAGAGAGAGACGTAGGCACTTTTGTGGGGACTCGGGGGAGACCAGTCAGTCAGGCCTCGTCTGCAGCTGAGAACTAGTCCTTCCATCCTCATCGGCAGACACTTGACGCCTACTAGCTGTGTGGCCCTGGGCAAGTCACTTAACCCCAACTGCATCACCAAGAGGGAAAAAACAACATCTGGAATCCCATGAGAAGGTTCCTCCAGGGCGCATAACCTTTGCACCAGGAGTTGTCCAGCCGATGGATCCCGGAGTGAGATCAGCCATGCAGGGAGAGGTCCCATGTCCACCAGAGTGTCAGCAGACGTCCTTCTGGGGCAGCCAAGAATGGGAAACAGACGGGATGCCCATCTCCCGGGGGGGGGATGGTGGGACACATGTTGGGGTGTGAGGGGAGTGGAGGGTGCTTGTGCCTTTAAGCAGGGATGAAGGGGGAGGATGCGGAGGAAGAGGGGAGATTTGTGGGAATTGATGTAAAGTCAACGTGCTCACATGGGCAAGAGAAGGTCCACAAAAGCCACCCGAGGCAAAGCTTCCTCTTCTGGTGGGAATCTCTCTGAACCAAGGCGCTGTCTACCTACATCCAGTGAAACTTGGGAACAAAGCTGAGCTTTGAGTTTTAGCTTTGCCAGTAGAACAGCAGGAACATGGAATTTCAGGGCACTGGGAGAGCCATTCTCTTTTCTCTTCAATTTTATTTTTCATTTTGAACGTGAATCCCCAGACAGAGCGTATTCATGGGCACGGAGCCTCCCAAAAAGCAGTTCACACTCCCCGTGTGACTTGGAAAGCTCTCCTGCCTGGCCCTTCCTCCTCTTCCATTGTGTGTGTTTTTTTACAGTGTTTCAAGGGTCCTCTCTCTTTTTTTGCACCACTAATACCCACCCTTTCTCCCTCAAACCTTCCCTCCTCTCCAATTAAAAACCAAGAAAAAGGGATCCCTTGGAACAAACGAGGCAGACGTGTGTAAATCTTCTTTTGTACCTGAGTCTGTCAGCTCTCTGTTGAGAAGAGAGTAACAGGCTTCCTTCTACGTCCCTATGGATGGTCATCACCTTGGTCCATTTGGGTATCTAGGACTCCATCATTTTCAGGCACAGGAACATTTATTGCATGTGACAGTCTGTCATGCTCACCCTCCACCCCCACCCCCGACCCCCTGGTCAGTATGCCTGCTGCATTTCTGGTTCTTGCTGCTATAAGCATTTTTGTAGATGGGGGTCCTTCCCCATTCAGCCTGGGGGCAGAATTGCTGAGTCAGGGGGTTTAGGTTTAAACTGGTCTTCCATCCAGCAAGAATCATCTTCCTTTTCTCATCTTGGGCAGTCTGGTGGGCATGAGGTGACACCCCAGACTTGTTTAATGTGTATTCCCTTTAATATGGTTACTTGGGTAGATTATTTAATACAGTTATTTTCCAATGGTTTTTGATAGTTTGGGTTTCTCCACTTGAGAACTGCCCATTCACATCATTTGACCATTTATCATTTCAGGAATGGCCCTGCTTCTCATATATTTGAATGTTTCCTCTGTATGCCAGATATCAGACCTTAATCAGAGAGACTTGTAAAGATTCCTGTTTCTAGTTCACTGTTTTTCTTACAATTTTACCTGCATTTATTTTGTTTATCCATGAGCTTTTCAATGTCATATGATCCAAATTGTCGATTTTGTCTTCTGTATTCTTTTCTGTCCTCTGGTCAAGAATGTTTCCCTTATCCATAGTGGCAAAAAATCTCCTCTCCTGTCCCCCTAATTTGTTTGGGGTGCATTTTCTTATATTGAAGTCATAAATCGCTGGAGTTCATTGTGGTATGTTGTGTGAATTCCTGCCAGACTGTTTTCCATTCCTCCTATCCGTGTTTGGTGGAGATTACCCGAGGGATTTGTCGGGCTGCATGACTATGTTCTTTTGTCTCTTTTTTCACCAATACTAAATGAGTTTAGTGATGACTGTGCTGTATTTTAGTTTGAGATCTGGCACTACTGGCCCTCTCAACTTCCCCTTTTTATTGGCATTTCCCTTGGGATTCTTGATCTTTTATTCATCTAGAGGAATTTATTATCTTTTCAGTTGTATGAAAGCATCCTTTGGTCATTTGAATGGTATGAATCTGAATGAGTAAATTAACATATATGGTACTGTCCTTCTTATTATATTGGCACAGTCTAGCCAAGGGCACAGATATTTCTATAGTTCTCTTTAGGTCCGTCTTTATTTCTGTATAGTGTTTTGTGGTCAGTAAGTCAGTCAGTCAGCATTTATCAAGAGCCTGCTATGTACCAGGCACTCTGCTCAGTGTTGGAGAACTCAGAAAGGCAAAGGCCCATCCCTGCTCCCAAGGAGTTCCCAGTGTGAAGGGGAAACGAGCCGTGTACCAGATAATCAGTGAGCAGAGGGGAGATCCCAAAGGCTTCTTGTGGGAGGGGTGGTGTTGGCTGGAACTTGCAGGAAGCCAGGGTTGCCAGGACAGGGAGAGAAGGAGGGAGAACAGCCAGACAGAATGCCCAAGGTCATCCAGGAGGGCCACTCGAGGGCCGTCCAGGAGGCCCTGACTGCCGGGGATCATCGTTTGAGCTGCAGATTTCTGAATGGGGATTTGACAGGGGGTGGCGGCAGGCAGAGAGGGCACAGGCTGTTGTAGTGGGGCGAGCATGAGGTGACAAAGTCCTGCATCGCTCCTGCATCGCTCACTGCGCTGGCTCAGAAGAGAGGAAGCATCTCGTGTGCAAGAGGTTAGGAAGATAAGATAAGCCATCCTTGGCAATTGGTTGGATAGAGTGGAGTGAGTGAGACTGAGGAGGTGAGGATAACACCTTGGGTGGGCCTGGTGGAATGGGAGGATGGTGGTGCCCTCAGCAGCAACAGGGACATTCGCCAGGGGGGTGTCTGGGGACAGGGCCACATCTGTAGAGCATCCAGTCTGAGAGGTCCAAAGAGAGCTGGAGATGTGAGCCTGGAGGCCAGGTGAGGGCTGGCTAAGTAGATTCTGAGAATCCTTAGCAGAGATGATGATTGTGACTGTGGGGACTGGCGGAATCACCAGGTGAAATAGTATGGAAGGAGGAAAGGGGACAGAGCCTGGGGCATCCATGGTTAGTGTGTGGGACCTTGGTGGAGATCCAGAAGGAGGGAGCAGGCAGGGAGAGAACAAGGACACCAGCAGGCCCAGGGAAATGGAGCGGATGACTGTGTCAGAGGCTGCCTCAGGGCATGCAGAATGAGGATGGAAAAACAGGCCTTTAGACTGGCAGTTAAGAGATCGCTGGTAACTTTGGAGAGAGCAGATCCGTGCAATGATGACATCGGAAGCCAGACTGGAAAGTTAAAAAGAAAGTGGAGGGACTTATTGTAGATGTTCTCGACGAGGAGTTTAGCCTCAGAAGGGAGGGGACAGAAGGGAGGTGTCTTTTTTGATTTTAATGATATTTTACCATTTTTCCCAATTATATGTAAAATTTTTTAACATTTTTTTTTAATTTTGAGTTCCAAATTTTCTCTCTCCGTCCCTCCCCTCCCTCACCCCAAGACAGTAAGTAATTTGATATAGGTTATACATGTGCAGTCCTACAAAACACCTTACATATTAGTCATGCTGTAAAACTCTCCTTCCCATGAAAAAAATTAAGGGAAAAATATTATGTTTCGATCTTCATTCAGACTCCATCAGCTATTTCTCTGGATGTGGATAGCATTTTCCATCATGAGTCCTTTGAAATTGTCTTGAATCATTGCATTGCTGAGGAGAGCTAAGTCATTCACAGGTGATCATACAACATTCCTGTTACTGTGTACAGCGTTCTCCTGCTTCTGCTCATTTTGCTTAGCATTAATTCATGTAAGTCTTTCCAGGCTTTTCTGAAATTATCCTGCTTGTCATTTCTTCCAGCACAGTCATATTCCATTACATTCATATACCACAACTTGTGCAGTCATTCCCCACTTGATGGGCCTCTGAGAGGGGAGATACCTAATGTGGATGGATGTTTCAAGGGAGGGGTTTTTAGGATGAGAGGAACATGTCCATGTGTGAAGGCAGCAATGCAGTGACCAGTAGACAAAGAGAAAGGGTGGAGATGGGGAGGGAGTCACCCTGTTTCCCCGGCATCGTAGAATGGTGTCTGTCCTCTTCCCGTGGAAGGCAGAGAAGTCGGCTTCATCGTCACAGGTGGTGCGGGCATGGGGATTTAGGGGGCTTCTGGGACTGCCAGTGCCTACCCATGTACTGGCATTTCTGTGGCTTTTTATATAGGCCGCCGAGTGGTTGACTTTTTCTATCTTTTCCTGCTAGAAGTTGTAACGAGTTTACAGGGCAGATGGCTTATTTTGATTTTTTTTATATCCTCCTACCTTGCCAGAGTTATTGTTCCAGTTCATTTTAAGTTGAATTCGTAGGTTCTCTAAAGTGACCATCAGAAGGTCACATCTTTGCCCATGCCCTGAGTGTAGCTGACTTTTTCAAGGGGTTTGGTCACAGAGGGCAGATGAGGTAGAGGATAATAGTTGTGATGAGAGAATCAAGTGAGTTTTTTGTTTGAGAGGAGGAAACATTATAAGCACATTTTGTAGGCAGTGAGGAAGGAGCCAGGAGAGATTGAAGACAGAGTAGGATGAGCGGGCAGTCTGCTACAGAGGAAGGGAACAAGGGTGCATAAAGAGGGGAGGGCCCTGGCAAGGAAAAGGGGCCCCCTCTTCATGTGAGATAGGAGTAAAGTGGAGGAGAGAGTGGAGGAAGATGTCTGAGTCATGGGAGTTAGGGAAGAAGGGAGATGAAGGGCCTCATTTTTTTCAGTGAAATATGTGATGAGGTCCTCAGTTGAGAGGGGAAGAAGAAGGGGTCCATTGGTAAGGTTTAAGGGGAACAAGAACATTTGGAGCAACCACTGTGAAGAGTGGGATAGTAGACTGATCATGGGGCAGTAAAGGAATTCCCTTGCTGTTGTGAGCACCTGTATGATACTCAGTAGCATCGATTTGCACTGGTATGCAACCCAGGCATTGTGGTTCTGTGACTTTCTCCAGTTTCCTCCAGTAGCCTGTGGATAGGAGTGAAGAAGGCATATGGTGAAACCAATCCAGGGTTGGAATTTAGCAAGGCATGGTAAGTGATAGGACATGGAACTCAGAGGAGGAGATAGGATAGAATTGAGTCAGCTCCCCAACGGGTCACAACAAGGAAGAGAGGAGAATGTGGCCAGTGCAGAAATAGGGGCCTGGGAATAAACAGGTGGAGGGAGTGGAACTCGTGGTGAGGTCAAAGAACAGAGTTAGGGGTCATAAGCCATAGGGGAAATGGACTGATAACTGATTCTGATCAGACAAAGCAATTACTGAACTCTTGTCTATAGAAGTGGAACACTTGGGGTGGGTGATGGCAGGACCTTGGGTATGACTGTCTTTTTGTGTAGCCAAATAGGTCATGGGGGTAGAATAGACTGAGAAACTGGGAAGGCCAAGTACTTGAGGGAGCATCAGTGTGTGTGTTGAAGTTCTTTATGATGAGGGAGAGATTTGAGGTGAACAGATTATAAACAGGGTGCTGGACTCATGGAGGGAGTCCTGGGGGTGATAGAGTGGCCACCAGGATTGGCCAAACCTCTAAGTTGTAGAGGTTGCTTAGTGATGGTAGTGGAGGGAGAATCTGGAAGTGGCCATGGAGAGCACAGAGGATTCTGACCTCCCCAGCTTGACCAGCAAGTCAGGGGGTACCAGAAAAGGTGAAAAGGAAGCATTGTCAAGAGTAGGGGAGGAGCTCTCTGAGTGCCAGAAGATGGAAACGGATAAAGGAAGAGGATTAAAATGAAAGAATGTTCATTGCTGAGCAGGCAGTCCATAGGTTACAGTGGAAAGCGGGGGAGGCCTGGAGCTTGGCACTGAGGGCCTTGGGTTGAGGTGGATGGAGAATGCGTATGATAGCAACTGCTGGATGAGAATGACTGAGATCAAGGAGGAGAAACAGGAGTGATTCCAAGCAGTTTCACTGGTTAGAGAGAGGACTGGAGGGAGCCAGGCAGTTAAACTGTTCAGGGTCTCATGTGGAGGTCCAGCCTCAAGGCAGGTGAGGCTCTGGAAGGCTTAGCTCACCACTGAAAAGAGAGGAGGAGGTGTGGGAGCCTGGAGGGAGGGAAGGCAGCAGTTCTGCCTGTGCTGGAGACTGATTGTGTGAGGGTTGGGATGAAGAGGCAGGAAGTAGAAGGAATCTTAGACCATGACAGGCCTTCCAGAGAAGACCTTGTTTTCCTAAATCTTCTGTCCTGAATGTCGTCCACATCCAGAAAAAGAACTATGGAGTCTGAATGCAGATTGAAGCACTTATTTGCACTTTCTTTTTTTTTCTTCTTTTTTTATTTCTTCTTTCTCATGGTTTCTTTCATTGGTTCTGATTTTTCTTTACAACATGACTAATATGAAAATAGGTTTAATATGAATGTATATGTAGAGCCATCAAATTGTACACCATCTTGTGGTGAGGGGAGAGGAGAGATGGGGAGAAAATTTGAAACTCAAAATCTTATGGAATTGAATGTTGAAAACTAAAAATAAATAAATTATAAAAAGAAGAAAAAAGAAAAGCGTAGAATAAATTCAAGTCAAAAACAGTCTACTGTCCTGGTCAGAGAGTTCATGCAGCATGGTGTATGGAGAACCAGGAAGACCTGGGGTCAGACTTTGCCTCTGACACATACAGTGTGTGGTCCTGCACAATGCCCTCAGCTCCTCCCTAAGGTGAGACGTTGCAGAGAAGGGCCAGCCTGCATCCGTGGGGGAGGCGGGGTGCCTGCTCCCTGGCAATTCTTTCTCTCTCTCCTCCTTCCTGGGCCGATCGATCTTGTCATTTGTGTTCAGCTGTCCCTTTTCCTGTGCTCACTGTAAAGTACAAGACTTCATTTGTGATGCCTTGAGTCCAAGCCACACAATCTTCATTGGTGTTCTGTCTAGGTTCCCTATTCCATTCAGATCACAGCTATTTATAGCAAAGTAAGGCCTTGTTCTTCACTCTATAGCTTATATTTTCATCATAACTTTTGGAAATAAATTAATCCTTAATTAGTATCACTTAACATTCGTTAGTGGCCCCCTGTTCTGCCAATTCATGTCCCATGCTGACCTGATTTGACTTGTTTTTTCTTGGTCCCAAAGGGTGGAAGTAGGAGCAGTGTTCTGTCACATAAAGATCGTTAGTTATTGATAGAAGAGACAGAAAATAGGATACTACATGTAAAGTTGGGTGAGTAAAGAGCATTTATGTTTTTTATTTTTTTCAGATTGGGAAGCTAGGTCTGAAACCAAGGAGTCACCTCCAAAACTGGGTCTTTCTGTGCAAGAATCATCCCAGGAAAGACTCACCAAGAGTCCCTCCATGTCCAGATTGGGAGAAAACCAGCCTAGTGAGATCAGGTTATTAAGGCAGCAAAAGGATAAGAAGAAGCCTTCCAGACAAAAAACCAATATCCAGAGGAAACGGTCCAGTAAAGTGAGAAACCCTGAGTATGACAAATGTGACAGAAGCTTGAGTCCAGAACCAGCCTTTTTGTCACAACAAAGAGAATCAGCTGCAAAGAGTCTCCGTAAACATGATATGCATAGAAAGAGCTTCAAAATATATTCAGACCTAAGAAAATGTAATAACATCTGCCCAAAGAAGACATTATCTAAATTTAAAGAATGTGGGGAATCCTTCAGTAACAATTCAGACCTCAGTGAAAGTGAGAAAACTGAAGAGAAACCTTTTGTATGTAATGAATGTGGGAAAGGCTTCTTTCAGAAGATGTGTCTTATTCAGCATAAGAGAAGTCACACTGGGGAGAGACCTTATGAGTGTGGTCAGTGTGGGAAGGCCTTCTATCAGCAAGGACACCTTATTCAACATCAGTCAATTCACACTGGAGAAAAACCTTTTAAATGTAATGAATGCTCTAAAGTCTTTCGCCTGAGTACAGGGCTTGTTGAACATCAGAAAATTCATACTGGAGAGAAACCTTATAAATGTAACGAATGTGGGAAAGCCTTCCGCCATGGATCACATCTCACTCAACATCAGAGAATTCACACCGGAGAAAAACCTTATGAATGTAATGAATGTGGAAAGACTTTCCGCCATAGTTCACACCTTACTCAACATCAGAGAATTCATACTGGAGATAGACCTTATAAATGTAAAGAATGTGGAAAAGCCTTCCGCCATGGTTCACAGCTTACTCAACATCAAAGAATCCATACTGGAGAGAAACCTTATGAATGTAAAGTATGTGGAAAGGCATTCAGACAAAGTACACAACTTACTGCACATCAGACAATTCACACTGGAGAGAAACCTTATGAATGTAATGAATGCGGGAAGGTCTTCCGCCAGAGTATACAACTTACTACACACCAGAGAATTCATACAGGAGAAAAACCTTATGAGTGTGATGAGTGTGGGAAGTCCTTCCGTTTGGGCACAAGCCTTAGTGAACATCAGAGAATTCATACTGGAGAGAAACCCTATAAATGTAATGAATGTGGCAAGGCCTTCCGCCTAGGCACAAGACTCAGTGAACATCAGAGGATTCACACTGGAGAGAAACCATATGAATGTTCTGGGTGTGGAAAGGCCTTTGGCCATAGCTCACAACTTACTCTACATCAGAGGATTCACACTGGAGAGAAACCTTATGAATGTAAGGAATGTGGCAAGTCCTTCAGGCAGAGTATACAACTGACCCTGCACCAGAGGATTCATACTGGAGAGAAACCTTATGAGTGTAATGAATGTGGGAAGACCTTCCGACAGAGCACGCAACTCACTGTACATCAGAAAATTCATAGTGGAGAGAAACCTTATAGATGCGATGAATGTGGGAAGGCCTTCCGCCAGAACACACAACTCACTGTACATCAGACGATTCACAGTGGAGAGAAACCCTATAAATGCTTGGAATGTGGCAAGTTCTTCCGCCTGAGCACAGGACTTAGTGAACATCAGAGAATTCACACCGGAGAAAAACCTTACAACTGTAATGAATGTGGAAAGACCTTCCGCCATAGTTCACACCTTACTCGCCATCAGATGATACATACTGGGAAAAAGCCTTTTGAATGTAGTGAATGTGGGAAGTCTTTCCCCCAAAGTGCACAACTTAACCGGCATGAGAGAATCCATACTAGAGAGAAGCCCTATCAATGTTTTGAATGTGAGAAGGCCTTCCGCCAGTGCTCACAGCTGACTCGACATAATAAAATTCATGCTAGAGATAAACCCAATGACTCTAACAAATGTGGGGAGGCTTCCAAAGAGCCCAGAGCTCTCAATAGAAATCAAAACCTGCATCCTTGAGAGAAACTTTGAGTGTAATGAATGTAAGAAGAGTAGGCAGCTGGTTGGAACTATCAGCTAGGTAGCACAGTGAATAGACCCCTGGACCTGGCACCAGGAAAAACTGAGTTCCACTCTGGCCTCAGAACCTTCCCAGCTACCTGACACTGGGCAAGTCACTATTTAATCTCCGTCAGCCTCAACTGTCTCATCTGTAAATGAGAATGGTACCACCACTCACCTCTCAGTATTCTTCCTATTATGCCAAACTGAATTCAGCCAGAGCCACTTGGGAGAATTTACTTAAGTGAAAGCCCTACAGATGAGGCATTTCCCTGTCTAGTTTCCCCAAGGGGGTTGTTCTAACCCATTTCCCCAGCTCTCCAGTTCCCAGCAACCTCCCTCCCTCACACGGCAGGCGATTCAGACTTTTGCAGCCTGACATTCTCTGAGGCTTCCCAAATGCCCAGCCCTCCTCCTCTACGCCTGCCTTCAGGAGACCACCAAGCATCCCCCTTCCTCACTTCGCCCCATTGTGAGAAGAGCCTGGGGACTGAAGGCTTCCTTGATGCAGCTCTGAAAACAGTGACTTTGTAATTCCTTCACCCCATTCCTCTCAAATCTAGAAGATGCACTACTCCCCTCCCTAAATCTGAGGTGTTTCTCTGCTTTCCCCTCTACCACCAGACCACAACGAGTCTCTTTCCTCACTCCAGCCATGAGTCTAACCATAACCTCCCAGGTGGTGCGGCCTCACCTACTCGACCCAGCTCCTGTTTGTGTGACCTGGCCAGTCTCTGTCTCCCATCTCTTTAGGATTATGGATCCCTAGAATGTTATCAAAAGCAAAGCTTCCTCTCCAAAAATGTTCTTTACCACATTATTTATAGTCAAAAATAAGCTAGGATCACCCAGAGAGAGCAGAGATCTTGGGACAGAGGCCTGTGGTACATAGTGGCTAGTGTTTCTGTAGCACTGTGAAGGTTTACAAAGCACTTTACAAATGTAATCTCACTGGAAGCTCAGAACAGCTGTTAGGCAGGTGTCGGTATTATCTCCTCTTTAGAGACCAGGAGGCTGAGGCAATGGGTTAAGTGACTTGTCCCTGGTAACAGTAAGTATCTGAGGCAGGATTTAGGCTTAGGATATCCTAACTACCTGTCCAGCGCTTTCCAGTGTACCACCTCGTTGCCCAATACTAAATCCAACCATTTACAAAGTACTTTACGCATGTTACTTTATCCTTAGAGCAACCTGGGAGGCAGATGCTCTTATGATCCCAATTTTACAGCTGAGGAAACTGACACATAATTTAAATGACTTGCTCAGTTAAACAGCTAGTAAGTGTCTGAGGTTGGATTTGAACTCAGGTCTCCCTGACACCATGTCTAAGCATTCTGTCCACTGCGCCATCGCTTCCCAGAGGTGGGACATGAATGGTAGGTAATCTGGCAGAGGAGACATAAGAATCCAGAAGAAAAGGAATCAGGACAAACCGATCTTCTTAAAATAAGTCTGATCATGCCCCCCCCCCACTCCATTTAATCAGCCTCATTGGCTCCCAACCTCCTGTAGCATCAAATGTAAAATCCTCTTTGACATTTAAAGCCCTTCACAACCTTCCTTCCACATCCTCTCCCCCCCCCCCCCGCCATGTCATTGGTCTCGTCACTGTTCCTTACACAACATGTTCCATCTCTGGAGTCTGCGCATTTTTACTGGCTGTCTGCCATGCTTGGAGATCTCTCCCTCGTCATCTCCTCCTCCTCCTGGCTTCCTTTGAGTTCCAGCTAAAACCTTTCCCAGTCCTGCTTTATCCTGTATATATCTGGTTTTCATATGGTTGCATGCATGTTATCTCCTTCATTAAACTGTGAGCTCCTTGGGGCAAGGACTCTTTGCCTTTTTTTTTTTTTTTTTTTTTTGCAGACCCAGTTTTTAGCACAGAGCTTGGCACACATGGGCTTAGTAAATGCTTGCTGCTGTAACCATGCCCACAAAGACATGTAGCAATAAAACAAGGAAAAAAGGGAAATAAGTTAGTTCACTGCTCCTCCCAAAGTTTCTCCCAAGTCATCATTATTTAGTCACTCTCTACTAAATTCTCTTTTTTAAATGTATTTTTTATTTTGTTAAACATTTCTCAATTACATGTAAAAATTTTAACATCGATTTTTTTTTTAAATTGAATTCCAAATTCCCTCCCTACTCTGCAACTCTCCTCCTTTGAGGAGTCAAGCAATTTGATAGAGATTATACATGTGAAGTCATGCAAAACATATATCAGTATTAGGCATGTTGCAAAAGAAAACATAGAGAAAGGAGAAAAACAAAGTTTAGAAAGCATCCTTCAGTCTGCCTTTAGAGTTCATCAAGTTCTCTCTCAAGAGGTGGATGGCATTTTTCATCACAGGTCCTTGGGAATTCTCTGGGATCTTTTTCTTGAGAAAAATAGCTGAGTCACAGTTAAGCAGCTTTACAACATTGCTGATACTGTGTACAGTATTCTCCTGATTCTGTTCACTTTATTTCGCACCACTTCATGTACATCTTCCCAGGTTTTTCCGAATAGCACCATTTCTTATGGCACAAGAGGATTCCATCGCAATCATATACCAGCACGCGTGCAGCCATTCCTCAGTTAATGGGCATTCCTTCAATTTCCAGTTCTTTGCCACTGTAAAAAGAGCTGCTGTACATATTTTTGTACAAATAGATCCTTTTCCTTTGATCTCTTTGGAATATAGACTTAGTAGTATTGCTGAGTCAAAGGGTATGCAGTTTGGTAGCCCTTTGGACATTGTTCCACATTGTTCTCTGGAATGGTTGGACCGGTTCACAGTGCTACCAACAGTGCATTTGTGTCTCACTTTTCCCTTTCCCCTCCAGCCTATCAGTTTCCTTTTCTGTTGTGTTAGCTAATCTGATAGGTATGAGGTGGTATCTCAGAGTTGTTTTAATTTGCATTTCTCTCATCAACAGTGATTTAGTCTGCTAGATTCTCTTAAGGAGCCAAGTCACGAGGCAGCAAAAGACAAAGGCTCCAGCTGCAGTGATGCTTCATGGGTCTCCTGGAAAGTGACTTCATTTTCTCTTCTGCTTCTGCTCCCCTGGGTTCTGTCCAACTCTCCCCGAGTTCCTTCCCAGAGAGATGTAGAAGTAACTGCTACAGCAGAAATCTCGTCAGTTATAAACAATAGATCAGTCTTTTTACTTTATTGGGTGATAATTCATGTTTAAAGTTACGAGTGTCAGGCTTCATTTCCCCCCATTTGACTAGAATATTTTTTCAAGTTTTGATTCTCCTCACTTCCACTATAAACACAATACTATATCTATTCAGTTACTTTATTTATTTATTTATTTTTGGCTAGGCAATAGGGTTAAGTGACTTGTCCGGGGTCACAGTGCTAGTAAGTGTCAAGTATCTGAGACTGGATTTGAACTCAGGTCCTCCTGACTCCAGGGCCGGTGCTCTATCCACTGCACCACCTAGCTGCCCCTTATTCAGTTACTTTAGTTTAATCTTTTGAAGGTGGCCCTATTTTTTTTTTGTAAATTTTTAAAAATTTTAAACTTAAATACAAAATAAGAAAAGAAAAATAAACTTAAATACTATGACTTAAACATATAAGAAAAAAAAAATCATTGCCATGTGCACAGCAGGTCATAAGAGAGGATTCAAAATATAAAGCAATAAATTTCCATTTCAATAAAGTCTATATAACAAATACTACACACTGTATTCAGAGCTGTCCCTCTTTTCTTTGCTTCCTAGTAGATTTTATTTTGTACTCTGTTGTGTACATTTCCCCCCCTTCCTCCCCTTCTCCCCCAAGAAGGCTACAATTAAGTGTGGATATATTCACACACACACACACACATACATGCACACATGCACACATGCACATATATATGCATACACATACATATACATAGATATCTATAATCAGACGGTGGCCCTATTCTTTCTGGCTTTCCCTCTCATCACCTGTGTACTACCTCTTTCCCCAGTTCCTGTTTGTTACCCATTTCCCTTTGGATAATTTTCTTATTCATTCCTTTTTCTTTTCTGCTCTTTTCTGGTTATTTAATTCCTTCTCTTCCCCTGCCCCCTCAGTCACATATATTCCACCTTCCTCTCCTCTCCTTCAGCTAGCCCTGTCCATTACCCTTCATGTGACAGCTCATACCAAGCTCTTCCCATGCAGGGGTGTTCCACCTCTCACTGCTCCATGGCAATGCCAGTCAAATGTAAATGTCAAAAATACAGATCTTTGTTTTCATGGGAAACAAGGTCATTGAAGGAGCATCATGATTTCCTGAAGGCAACACAGCACTCCTGCCTCTTACTGTTCAGCCTCAGAGCCCCCTCGTGCATCTGCATTGTCTGTCCCAGATGGACACAGAGATGGACAGACAACAGAGTGTCACTCCACATCTGGGCCAGACCTACTTCTTTTCTTCCAAATTCCCTTAAGCTCTTACAGATTTCTTCCAGAAAGTTAGGCCGTGTCCACATCCAGAGAGAGAACTATGGAGCCCCAGTGCAGACGGAAGCAGACCATCTGCTCCCCTTCTCCTTGGTTGGTTTGTTTTATTGCTTCATTCTTGTGGGTCCTATCGGTTCTAATTGTTCTTTACATCGTGACTGATGGGAAATGTGCTTAACGCATATGTATATGTAGAGCCTATATGGGACTACACGCCATCTGTGTGTGGGGGAGAAAATTTAAAACTCAGAATCTTATGGAAGTGAATGCTGAAAACTCAAAATCAATAAACTTAAGAGTTATGCCATCTTCTGGGTTTGGCTGAATCATCATGCTGTTATCTACAGACTGGAGCCCCACAAGGATCTCACCATGATGAAAGGGAATCCCTCTTTAACTTGAATTCTGCACCCATCTCCTCCATGGTGGCAAACACCTTGGGCAAGCCTAGCTCTCTGCTCCATGCCTCTTCTAATGTTTACCACTGAAGGGCCGCAGAGGAGGAGCCTTTCTGTTTTTCTGTCTCCCAAGGAATCTTGAATGATCTTCGAGTATGGATGGGAGACGCTTTTTTGTAAAACAACTACAAAAACAAGCCGGTAAGGCAGCATTTGTTTCACAGAATCATTTTTTTGGTAGTCAGCAATCACAATGGGCTCTTATGTTAATAATATATTTCAGTTCATTATGAAATGGCAAAGATGTGGTCCATTGTTGAATATGACTGGTGAATGACTGCATGTTCCCACACAGTACACAAGTCATGCATGCCTTAAATTCATGCACGGATGATTCTTACCAACATTTCAAACTTCCTTTAAGATGGTTTTATGTTCTACTGATTCTCTCTGTTCCTTTTTTAAAATAACCTTGTGAATAATCATTCATCACCCTCTGTATAGCAGCAAAAGCTCTCTAAATGGATGAGTTGTATGGTACCACTATCATGCCAGTAAAGAAATAAAAGCAAAGACCAATACTCATAACAACTTACATATTCAAGTGAGATTTATTGAAGAATTTAGTGCAGGCTGCTGGGCCCCAAAATGATGATGATTGCTGAACTGCATCTCCTTCCAACAATCCCCTAGAGTTAATGATAGATTCTAGCTTTGTCTTTCCTATCTTTCAACAGTGAGCTTTGGCAACAATGCCTCTTCAGCAGTGATAGAGGAGCCTGATTTACTCTTTCTTATGGAGAAAGGCAAGTTTTCACCTTTTAGTTTGGCCTCGAAGACTTGGAGACCACCCATTGATGGATACGTGATGGATACTGAGCCTATGGCCAGTCTTTTCTGAAATGACTGATTTTTAAGGCAACTCTACGTGTCCAGCAGTCTCAGACACATACAGCTGTTATCTGGATGGAAGGTGTGTCCTGGGCAACTTTTCATAACTCCCTTAAAGATGAGACACACCTTGAGACGTAGTTGTTATCTCAGGCTCGGAAGCATGTCCTCAGAGCACAGATGTTAATAATTATCCTGAGACTGAATATAGAAAAAACTACTGTCATTTTTATGTGTGTATGGAAGAAGGGGGAGAGAGAAATAAAGCTACTGTCATTTTTACGTGTGCAGGTGAGAAGTAGGGAAGTGGGAAGGGGAACAGCTCAGAGCCAAGAAGGCCTCTAGCAAGTTACAAGAGAAGAAAAATACCTATTGAATTAATAATAGGCCGGCTGAGAGGTTACAAGTGGTTAGGAACTTCTTCAAAGAAAACTCTTAACATGCAAATGTTTATATTTTTATTTATTTTTTATTTCTATTTAGTTCATTACACTAATACAAGTGTTTTTTTCCTATTTAACAAGTGAATCTCTCAAAATGAGGCACTGCCTGAGTCAGTTCCAGGATACACTCATAAACGTATCCATTCCTATAAAGAGGCCCTGCCCATCACTTGGACTTACTTCCACAGGCAGAAATTCAGATGTCAGTGTCACAAGAAATGGTGAGGTGGGCTATAGTAGTCCCCCAAGGAACTGGTCAAGAAAAAGTAGTTTAAAACCATACTTTAATTTTTTTAATTAGTATTCTCTAGCTTTAGGTAATTTTTTTTTTGATGTCTTCTTGTTATGTGCAATTTTTTTTTAGCCTTAACCTGTGATTTCGTCACTGTATAGAACTCCCTCCAAAGATACAGATCAGTAAACAAAAACTTTAGTGATACAGTTGCCTGAGACACTCAGAGAATCAACAATTCTGGAGAAATTCTCCAAATGTTGTTACCTATTCCTTGGTGTCTTTTTGGATATCTTTGAGATTCCTGCATTAATTTCCGTCCTTACTAACTCTTTCAATTTTTAAAAAATTGCTCTTCTAAAACCATTTCAGAAGTCCTTTCCCTTGTTCTCATATTTTGAGGGACTTTGTAGTAGTTGCTATACTCCTTTTCTCCTCCTTTACAATCTTCAAATTATTTTATTTTACGGCACAGTAGTTACTCCCTGTGCTGTGATCTCTTTGGGATTATTGAATCATTTTTATTATTGTCCTTCTACTATTTACGCTAATGATTTCCCCCTACATAGTGTTATATCTGGTTGTTCTTTAGTTCTGCCATATGGTGGAGGAGAGCTGAGCTTAGACAATATTACATTCAGGTATTTGCTCAAAGTTTTAAAATTAGACTTTTGAGAGAGCTAATTTTGTAAAGTGGTTGGGATAGAAGCTCAATTGCAAGGTGTTCAGATGTTGGCTGTGAAGATATGAAAAAAGTAGACAAGAATTTTCAATGTTTTTTTTTTTTCAGTTAAAGGGAGAAGGGACAGTACTGGATGGAAGGTCAGGAGTGATCTTTTTCCTCTTAATATTGGGGGGACCTGAGTATGTATATAGGTAAGAGCCAATGGGAGGGATAGGTGAGGGCTGCATGAGAAAGGGTTACTGGAATAAGGTTCTAGAATATGCAGATGGGGATAAGATCAAGGGAGCAAGAAAAATAATTTGCCTTAGCAAGGAGCAGATATCTTTTCTTCTGTGAATGGAAGGAAGGAGTAAAAAATGGTTAATGAATCTGAAAACCTGTGAGATAGGGCCCTGTTAGAGACCCTTAATTTAAAAATCAGCAGCTACAAATATGTGAAATAAGAGTGGGAGATGGCTAGGAATTTGAGGATAGAGGATGGTAATAAGTTAGGGGTTTCCTTCGAATGTAGGGTTTCCTACTGGTTTGCATTCACTGTCAAAGTGATAGGGATTAGGGAGAAATGTAATGAGCTCTGCCTTGGGCATGTTGATTTTTAAGTTGTCTACTGGACATCCAGTTCAAGATGTTTGAAAGGCAGTTGGAGATGGCAGACTGGAGATTAGCGGAGAGTTTCAGGCAGGACAGGTAGAGTCATCAGTATACAGCTGGTAATTAAATCCATGGAGGTTATGAGATCACCAAGTGAAGTAGGTTGAGAAAAGAAGAGAGACTAGGACAGAAACCTGTGGGACACCTATAGTGACCTGCAAGAGTACCCAGCAAAGGGGACTGAGAAGCAATCAGGGAGGTAGAAGAACCAGGAGAAGAGAATATCCAGGAGAGAGTGATTAACATTGTCAAAGGCTGCAGAGTGTCAAGGAGAATGAAGATAGATAAAAGGCTACTGGATTTGGCAACCAAGAGATGACTGATAGATTTGCAGAGTAATTCCAATGGAATGATGAGGTGGGAAGATGGATTGTAAAGGGTTAAAAAGAGAATAAGAGAGAAAGTAGAGGCACCACTTTTATTGTAGACAGAGGAATTCTGCCACAAAGGGCAGAGAAGATAGGGGAAGATGGTTAGTGATACTTAAAAGGGATGGAAGGATCAACTGAGGGCTTTTTGAACATGGGGGAGACATGGACATGTCTAAACACAGTAGGGAAGGAGACAACCCTAAGATGGTCATTTCCTAAAGAAAATCCCCTATCTCTTGGTGGGCCTCCCCATGCCTTTCTTTTCCTTCTCCACACCCACAGCCCACTGGGTGTTCCCAGCTCCTCCCTGGGTCCATCACTAGGGCTTGAACCTATGCTAATGGAAGAGGGACTGGGGAAAGCCTTGAGTGAATCTCACTGAAGGTGCTAGGAACGAAGCAAGGCAATGAGTCATCCCCTCACCCAGGGACCAGGCAACCCCCATAGCACACACACAGAGCATTCCCTGTAGCCTCACAGTCCATGTCAACACGAATTGGGCTAAGTCTTGCAGATAGAAGGCACTTCATAATATTCATTAAATGGAATTGATATCAAAAGGGGAGCCTGCCAGCAGCACTGTGAAGACAATCTGGGGTCCTTTCCTCAGCACTTTTAACCTTATCCTGAAAACCTGGTTTTATACTGACTATTCAAATGAAACATTGCATTTTCAATGGAAAACAATGTTTATTCTATCCTGTATCAACAAAGCGCTCAATATAAGAATGACTGTTCACACGTGAAACTTAGTTTATTTTTTAAACGTCTTGATGTTGACCACAGAGAACCACGAATGTTCTTTGTTTCTGCATATTTGCCTGGGTGGTATTGCTATTATTTACATAGTTGTTGGCTGTGTGTGCATTGCTATTCAGATTCTGTTTCCTTTTCACTAACTTCCCTTTATGAAAGGCTTCCCACACAATTCCGTGTTCTTCATAGCACCACTGTCACATAACATGTACAATTTGCCCAGTCGATTCCCTAATCTTTGGACACAAGGGTTGTTTCCAGGTTTTTATTCTTGTGAATTGTGTTTCAAAGAATAATTTTATAGCAGCAAGTATCCTCCTGCCTCACCACCCCCCATCACAAATATCCTCAAGGTTGATGGTCTTCATAGACAAGTCACTGGCCAAAGATGTATGGGTGGTTCATAGCTCATGCCAAAGAGCTTCCCAGGCAATGGAACTGTGAGCTTATTACTCTGGCTATGCCATTACTGGAATTTATCATTTGAAATGACGACCTTGTTAGTTTGGTGGACGATAGGTGGCATTTTATATCCATAACTGTTTTAATCTGAGGATCTGATTGAGATTGAGCCATTTTTCATGTGGTCATTTATAATGATAGGTGGTCTTTTCTTTCAAGAGACATTTGTTCACCAAGCCCCTAGCATCTCCCTCACAGGGTTGTTGTGAAGATCAAATCAGATAATATTTGTAAAATGCTTAGGACAGTGCCTGGCACATAGTAGGCACTATATAAATACTATCTATTATTATCATACCCTACAGGAGGAATCCAACCTTTGTCAGAAACCTCTAGAGAGGGGCATAGCTTTGTGTAATCATAGATTTTCAGAACTGGAAGGAACCTCAGAGATATCTGTCCAACCCATACCCCAAAATAATCCCTTTCATCATGGACTTGAAAGGTGGTCATCCAGTCTCTGCTTGGAGACTTTCAATGAAGGGGAGGTCACTAATTCCCAAAGCAATCCATTCTACCTATGGATTACTCTAATTGTAAGTTCTTCCTTATATCTACCCTACATCTGACTCTTTACATCTTCATTCCAACCTCTGGAACCAAAATAAACTGAATGCCTCTTCCACATAACAGCCTTTCAAATGCTTGAGGACAGTTATCATATCCTTCTTAATCTTCTTCAAATTAAACACCCTCAGTTCCTTCAACTAGTTCTCATAAGACATAAGACTCAAAGTCATTCAACTAGTTCTCATAAGACATAGACTCAAAGTCATTCATCATCTTGGTTCCTTTTTTCTGCACACTCCATTTATCAATGTCCTTCCTAAACTGTGGTGCCCGAAATTAAACACAAAACTCCAGATGTGGATGGACCATGGCAGAGGACAGAGGGACTGAATTTCTGAATCTTTTGCCTCTCTTAATACAGCCTGAGGTTACATTATCCCCTGACTTGGAGTCAGGACACTCACAGGCTGTTTGATCATGGGGAAATGGCTTAATTCCTCAGGGCAACAGTTTCCCCAGCTGTAGGATAGGAGCAATAATACTTGCATTACCGACTTGTAGGATGAGTGTGTGGCAAACTTAAAAGCACAATTTAGATGTATTATTATTACCACTGACCAAGAGAATGATTTCACAAAGAAAATGATGCAGGAAGTATATAGAAGGAAAGGACAGATAACTATGCCCAGTAGTCCACAGAGGTCAAAGAGGATTTGGATTAAACAAAAAGGCCGCTGTATTTACTCATCAAATCATCAGTGACTTGTCAAAGCTGTTTCAGTAAAGGGGTTGGGCCTGAGACTGGATTCCATGGCGTTGAGATAGCGAGTGATGAAGAATTGGAAGCAGAAGAGCTGTGTGCCAATGGGTAATTCACTGAGCCTCTCAGAGCCTCCGTGGCCTCATCTGTAAAGTACAGATGACAGCAACGCACTGATTTCACAATGTGGATGTGCGAATTGCTGTGCAACACATCAAACACCCTGCAATCCTTAAAGCACTGCAAATGTCAGTCATTATCGAGTGTTGATGACTTTAAATGAGTCTGGCAACGAAAGGGAGAAAACAGGCGAGACAGTAGCATGACTGGGGACACAACGAATTGGGAATGCCTGACTGTGTTTTGTAGTCAGCCAGGAACGAGCCAGTGTACAGGTTTGAGAGCCATGTCAGAGAACAGCAGGCTGCTGGAAGACAGCCCTGGAGTAAGCCGGAGGCGATGCGTCAAAGGCACAGGCAAAGGAGCGGCTTCAGTAAAGAGTAGGGAGATCTCTTCTGTGACACTAACAAGGAAAAAAGAATAGTTGGCAAGCCTAAGAGCTATTGGGAAATGGAATTAAAGAAGCAAATTCCAATAAGACTGCCACAATATTCTCAGTAAACTAGGAGCATAAGTTATCTGTTATAAGTATGGGGAGTTGGAAGAGGGAGGGAGCTGGAGCCTGAGAGGGGAAGGACAGGATGCAGCCACTGGGGGAAATTAAACAAGGATTTAGTCAATCGATAAGATTTACCTGTACTTCAAATTATCCAATTTTCCATAAAGTGTGCAATTTAACCGAAATCCTTCATACTTTGTTCCATTCCTAAAGCTTTGCCTTCATAAGGCTTCTCTTCAGTGTGAATCCTGTAATGCTGAGTAAGGTGCTTGCTTAGGCTAAAGGCCTTCCCACATTCATCACATGCATATGGTTTTTCTCCACTATGTATTCTCTGATGTTCAGCCAGTCCTGTGCTCAATCGGAAGGTCTTTCCACAGTCATTACATTGATAAGGTTTCTCTCCAGTATGAATCCTCAGATGTTCAGAAAGTCCAGTGCTTCTGCTAAAGGCCTTTCCACATTCATTACATTCATAAGGTTTCTCCCCAGTATGAACCGTCTGATGTTGAGTAAGGTGAGCTCTCTGTCGAAAGGGTTTCCCACATTCATTACATTCATAAGGTTTCTCTCCAGTGTGAATTCGCTGGTGTCGATTAAGTTGTGTGCTCAGGGTGAAGGACTTCCCACATTCACTGCACTCATATGGTTTCTCTCCAGTGTGATTTCTCTGATGTTCAGTCAGTCCTATGCTCAGGCGGAAGGCTTTCCCACATTCATTACATTCATACGGTTTCTCTCCAGTATGAATTCTCTGATGTTCAGTCAGTCCTGTGCTACGGCGGAATGCCTTCCCACATTCACTACATTCATAAGGCTTCTCTCCAGTATGAATCGTCTGGTGTCGAGTAAGTTCTGTGCTCCGTCGAAAGGCTTTCCCACATTCACTACATTCATAAGGCTTTTCTCCTGTGTGTATTATTTGATGCCGAGTAAGTTGTGAGCTTTGACGGAAGGTCTTCCCACATTCATGACATTCATAAGGTTTCTCTCCAGTATGAATTATTTGATGTTGAGTAAGCTGTGAGCTTTGGCGGAAGGCCTTCCCACACTCATTACATTCATAAGGTTTCTCTCCAGTATGGATTACCTGATGTCGAGTAAGCTGTGAGTTCTGTCGGAAGGATTTCCCACACTCATTACACTCATAAGCTCTCTCGCCAGTATGAATTGTCTGATGCTGAGTAAGTCCTGCACACTGGCGAAAGGTTTTCCCACATTCATTACATTTATATGGTTTCTCACCAGTATGAATTCTCTGATGTACTGTAAGTCGTGTGCTCAGGCTAAAGGTTTTCCCACATTCATTGCATTCATAAGGTTTCTCTCCAGTATGAATTGTCTGATGTTGAGTAAGCCCTGCACTCTGATGGAAGGCCTTGCCACACTCATTACATACATAAGGTTTCTCTCCAGTATGGATTGTCTGATGTCGGTTCAACTGTGAACTCTGGCGGAATGCCTTCCCACATTCATTACATTCGTAAGGTTTCTCACCAGTGTGAATTCTCTGATGTTCCGTGAGCTGTGAGCTTCGCCGGAAGGCCTTCTCACATCCATTACATTGATAAGGTTTCTCTCCAGTGTGAATTCTCTTATGTACAGTAAGTTGTGTGCTCCAGTGGAAGGCCTTTCCACATTCATGACATTCATAAGCTTTCTCTCCAGTGTGAATTCTCTGGTGCTGAGTAAGTACTGTGTTTTGGTGGAAGGCCTTTCCACATTCATTGCATTTATAAGGTTTCTCTCCAGTGTGAATTCTCTGATGTTGAATAAGCTGTGAGTTCCAGTGGAAGGCTTTCCCACAATCATTACATTCATAAGGTTTCTCTCCAGTATGAATTGTCTGATGCTGAATGAGCTGTGAGCTCTGGCTGAAAGCCTTCCTGCATTCATCACGTTCATAAGGCTTCTCCCCAGTATGAACTCTCTGATGAATTCTAAGTTGCGTGCTCTGGCAAAAGGCCTTCCCACATTCATTACATTCATAAGGTTTCTCTGCAGCATGGATTCTTTGATATTCAGCCAAGTCTGAATTATAACTGGAAGGTTTCTCACATTCATTATTCTTAGAAAAAATCCTCTTTGAATAAGGTCTACTACATTTTCTTAAGTCTGAATACATCCTAAAGCTCTTTCTGTATATATCATGTTTACAGAGACTCTTTCCTATGGATAGTCTCTGTTGTGGAAAAAGGATTGAATCCAAACTGAAGCGTCTTCCATATTTATTATATTCTTGGCCTTTCACTTTACTGAGAATTTTCCTTTGGGTAATTTTTAATCGTCCAGAATATTTCTCCTCATTGTCCTGCTGTCCTTCTAACATGACATCACACTTCCAAGTTTCTCTCAACTGGGAGACATAGGAAATGTCATTTTTGAGTCTTTCTTGGGATGACTCTTCAATAGAGAGGCCTTGTTTTGTAGTTATCTCCTGGGTTCCATTACTTGTCTTCTGATCTGAAAGGAATTAAAAACATAAATTCCCATGCTCCCAAAGTTGTACATGTAGTTTTCTCCTTCACCAAGAAAAATTGAGGTAGCTAGACAGTTCAGTGGATAGAGTTCTGGACCTGTAGTTAGGAAGACCTGAGTTCAAATCCAGTCTCAGCCACTTACTAGCTGTGTGACTCTAAGTCACTTAGCCTCTGTATGCCTCAGTTTTCTCATCTGTAAAATGGTAATAATGACAGCACCTACCTCCCAGGGTTGTTGTGAGGATAAAATGAGATATCTGCAAGGGACTTTATGAACCTTAAGGTGCTATATAAACAGTAGCAATCATCCAATCATCATTATAAAACTGTCAAACTTTAAAGTGTAGAACAAATAATAATTCAACCTGATATTTGTAATATTGTCGTGGAGAAAGCAATTCCCAAGCCTTTAAGATTTACACATGTGAATTAGTACAGTCATGTGGTTTTGTAACTATGTACTTCTCCGGGTGTTCTTCCTGCTCATGGCAGCTTTTCACATGAAAGCTCACCGTAGCCTTGTGAGGTAGCTGGGTGCTCTTTCTCTTACCCCATGGTAGTTCTCTACCAAGTGAATATACTTGTTTGGAATAGTTCTAAATGGCCAGACCAGAGGAAACAGAAGGAAACTCCAAAGAGGGCCAGTATCAGTTCAACATAATAATAATATAACATGAAGCATAATAACATAAAGAATGAATTCTTTTTCGGTTTGGTTCCTATGAAAAGTAGCTAAGGAACTCTCTTCCAAGAATTACAGAAACTTAGGAAAAGGTTGCAGTGACTTGCATTGAATGTGTGGCTTTTGCTTTTCTGAAATGGCCAAGTGATAATTATCTAGGTATGTTTAGATAGAGAATGACAGGAAAGACAGAATTTGGGGAGAGCATATTTCAAGGGTTCAGACAGAAGATAAGTCAGATCCCAGTGGGGAATCGAGCCCAAAATGCTCAAGAATGAAATTCTTAGAAAACAAAGAAACACTTCTGATACAAAGGTGGTGAAGTGGTGAGAGCACTTCAGATCCTAAGGGTGACTCAGGAAAGTCACTTCACCTCTATGTGCCTCCATTTCCTTCTCTGTAGAATAAGGGGATGTTTTCAAATACAAGACTTGAGTGGAACATGAAGAGGTAAACAGGAAAGAGAAAATCATAAGAGACTTATTAAGGTTGAACTGTTTACATTCCTGCATGGAAAGATGATATTTGTAACTCATGAGACCTTTGTCAGTATTAGGGTAGTTGGAAGGGAAAAAATTATATGTACATATATATAGATATAGATAGATAGAAAAAAAAATTAGAATAGAGCAATTGGAAGCTAGTGACTTTATGAGAAATCAAGACACTGTAAAATAAATCCAAAAGAATGAAAAATTAGAAAACAATGTGAAATATCTCATTGGAAAAACAACTGACCTGTAAAATAGATCCAGGAGAGAGAATTTAAAAATTATTGGACTATCTGAAAGCCATGATCAAAAAAAGAGCCTAGACATCATGTTTCAAGAAATCACACAGGAAAACTGCCCTGATATTTTAGAACCAGAGGGCAAAATAGAAATTGAAAGAGTCCACCGATCTCCTCCTGAAAGAGATCCCCAAAGGAAAACTCCTAGGAATATTGTAGCCAAATTCCAGAGTTCCCAGGTCAAGAAGAAAATATTACAAGCAGCCAGAAAGAAACAATTCAAGTATTGTGGAAACACAATCAGGATAACACAAGATTTAGCTGCTTCTACATTAAGGGACCGCAGGGCATGGAATATAATATTCTGGAGGGCAAAGGAGATAGGATTACAACCAAGAATCACCTACCCAGCAAAACTGAGTATAATTCTTCAGGGGAAAAAATGGTAATTCAGTGAAATAGAGAACTTTCAAGCATTCTTGATGAAAAGACCAGAGCTGAATGAAAATTTGACTTTCCAATACAAGACTCAAGTGGAACATGAAGAGGTAAACAGGAAAGAGAAAATCATAAGACACTCATTAAGGTTGAACTGTTTACATTCCTGCATGGAAAGACAATATTTGTAACTCATGAGACCTTTGTCAGTATTAAGGTAGTTGGAGTTGGTTTTTCACAGCATGACTACTATGGAAGCGTTTTGCATAACTGCACATGTATAACCTGTATTGAGTTGCTTGCCTTTTCAATGAGGGTGAGTGGGGAGTGAGGAAGGGAGAAAATTTGGAACCCAAAGTTTTAAAAATGCATGTTTAAAAAAATGTTTTCACATGCAACTGGGAAATAAGAAATAGAGGAAATGGGGTATGGAAATCCATCCTGCCCTACAAGAAAATAGAAGGGGAAGGGGATCAGAGAAGGGGGAGAGAGACAGAAGGGAGGGCAGACGAGGGGAAGGGGATTCAGAATGCCCGCCATCTTGGGGTGGGGGGAGGGGCGAGATGGGGTGGAAGTCTGGAACTCAAAGTCTTGTGGAAGTGAATGTTGAAAACTAAAAAACAAATAAAAATTACCATAAAAAAATAGAACGAGGGGATGAAACTTGACAGCTCTGAGATCCCTTCCAGTTCTAAGCCTAGGATCTCATGAGAAAGGGACTTTGTCCAAACAGACCCACATGGACACACGGAGAACCCGGGGACCCTCTTGGAAGAGTAAGACACAGGTACAGAAGACAGATGCAAGGACCAGTAACATAAAAGGGAAGAGAACAGGAAGGGAATAAGCACTTACCTATCACCTGCCACGTGCCAGGCATCATGCTAAATGCTTTACAAACACGGTCTCGTTCGATCCTCTCAACAACCCCCAAGAGAGGTGCTGCTAGGATCCCTCTTTACAGTTGAGGAAACTGAGGCAGACAGCGGTTTAAATCACCGAACTCAGACTGGACGTGCTTTTGTTGTCCAAGTCATTTCAGTTGCACCCGACTCTTTACGACAGCGTTTAGTATTTTCCTGGCAAAGATACCACAGTCGTTTGCTATTTCCTTCTCCAGGTCATTTTTTACAGATGAGGCAAACAAGGTTAAGTGACTTACCCAGGGGCACACAGCTAGTAAGTGTCTCAGGCTGATTTGAGTCTTCCTGAATTGAGGCCCCGCACTCTATGCACTTTGGCTCCACCTGGCTGCCCAGGTGCAGATAAAATACAAAAACATCATAATGTCCTGAAAGAGTGATGTTAGGATTGCTAAAGTCTGGAATGAGCTGAGGCTGGTGAAGAAAGCTAAACTTACAGAAAGGAGAAGGTTTTTTGCTTCATGAGGTAAGAAAGGAGGCTCAAAGCATGAATTACAGACTTCTCAGAGATGGAAGGGATTCCACTCGCCATAGTGTCAACCCAAATCTGACAACAAATTCCCTCTTTAAGCAGCCCGGGCAATTGCTCACTCAGTTACTGCTCTACGACTTCCAATGAAGCGGAACTCATTGTGCCGCCTCCACAGGCAGCCAATTCCACTTTGGAACCTAACTGTAAGGGCTCTTCCCCTAAGATGGAGCCCCGGTGCCCTCCTAAGCCCCAGCGGCTCCCGCTTATGCCCGACTTCAAGCAGAACAAACTAACCTCTTCTCTACAAAGCAGCGTTTAGATTGTCGAAAGCAGTTCTTGTCTTTTTTTCTCTGGGCTAAGGCATCCCTAGCTCCTTCACTTGGTCTCCCCATCACATGGCCTTGCAGCCCTTCATCATACCATGGGTCCTCCACCGGTCAGTCTCCATTGCAACGAAACCCTCACTGACGCTTGTTGCCCAGAACGAAACATACTATTCCAGATGTGGCGTGGTCAAGGCTGACTGGAGTTGGACTATTACCTCTGCATCACCAGAAGCTGTGCCTCTTACAGGCCACATGAGATTTCTTGTCTGTCATACAAGTGTTCGTTCATATTGAGCATGCAGTTGACCAAAATCCACAGATCCTTCTCAGAGTACTGTCAATTCTCATCTCCTACAGCTTGTGCCTGTGAAGTTAAATTCTTGGCCCCAAGTATAAGACTTTAAGATTTATCCCTTTTAACTTTCATCTTATTAGATTCACCCAATGTCTGTCAGGACCTCTTCCTATCATTCAGTGTGTTAACTATCCTCCTTAGTTTTGGGTGATCTGCAAATTTGATAAACGAGCTATGTCTGCCTTTATCCAAGTCACTGACAATCACTGTCAAACAGCCAGGGCCCAGCACAGCTGCTGGGGCGCTGCACCAGAAGCTTTCCTCCAACCTGACCTTGAAGCTTCAGTGAGTGCTTTGAGTCCAGTCATTAAGCCAGTCCTGAATCTAAATGCGCCATCATCCGACCCTCCGTCTCCTCCCGCCCTGCATCCACTGTTTGGCTAAAATGTCAACGAACCAAACCTGCAGCATCCCCTCCACCTGTCAGGTCAGTAACCCTGTCAAAAAGGGAATGCGTGGAGAACGAGGGAGAGCGTGCCCTTCATCCAGCCAGGCTGGCTTCCTGTGGCCACTTCTTCCCTTTAAAAAAATTTATTTTGAATTTAAGTACAAAAAGATGAAAAGGAAACATTTCTATGTACACAGGCCAACACAAAACGAGGATTCAACATGAAACCATGAATTGCCATTTCCCACTGTATACTTAAGAAAAAAAAAACCTATGTAATAAATACCAAACACATTGTTTTCAAAGCTACCCTGCTTTTCTGCGCCTCCTTCTGAGTTTTCTTTTGTTCTCTGCTATGCACGTTTTATTTTTTCTCCCTCCCTCCCCATGCTAGAGAAGGTCACCATTAGACACAGATATGTATGTGACCATACTATATATACTGCTATTTATCAATACTATATATACTGCTATTTATAAAACCATACTATATATACTGCTATTTATCAATTCTTTCTCTGACAGTGGATAGCATTTCCCTTCACATTTCTTTTGTAGTTGATTTGAGTATTTATAATATTCAAAATAACATAAATAAGTTGTTCACAGTTGTTCTTTGAACAATATTGCTATTACTGTATACAACATTCCTGCTCATTGCACTCTTCA